GGCGCAGCGCATACATGTTCTACTTCAGCAGCACCATGCACATACATTGTTTACGTGCAGAGGAACGCACACGCATGTGTCATGTACTCTCGATAATGGCGGAAGACTATGGCAAGCCGTTTTTACTTTTATTCCTTTACGGGATATGAATTCTTGATATCAACAATTCAATTTTTACTAGTTAAAATGTTAATTCTTGATATCAGGAATTAGATTTCTACTAGTAACAATTGCTATTTTTGATATCAGCAATTACATTTCCACTAGTAACAATGTTAATTCTTGATATCAAGAGTAAAAGTACTTTAAAATCAATCCTAAATATAACTGGAAGCCAGTGTAAGGACCTGAGGACTGGTGTAATATGCTCAGATTTTCTGGTTCTAGTCAGAATTCTGGCAGCAGCGTTCTGGATGAGCTGCAGCTGTCTAATGGTCTTCTTGGGAAGGCCGGTGAGGCCTACAAGGTTCCCTAGTTAAAATGCTAATTCTTGATATCAGGATTTACATTTCAACTAGTAAAAACATTCTTGATTTTCACTAGTTAAATGTCACCATAGGCTGCCATTCAAAATCAATTGTTGATATCAAGAATTAATTTCTTACTAGTTGAAATTCCAATTTCACATATCAGAAATACAATTCTTACTAGTAAAAGCCTTTATTTTTGATATTGATTTTATTAACATGGAAGATATAGAGTGAATGCGCTCTGACTCATAACACTCGCGCACGTGGAAGAAAATGGACACTCCAGATCACATAATTCAGTGGATAATTAATAGAAATTATATTGAGAACATATGAGAATAACTCTGTTCTCAGATACCAAAGATAACAAAAACTCCTCATCCACTCTCTTCTCTCTCTGGATACTCTTCTTCTGTGTTACAGTAGTTTAAACTGGTTTTCGAAACAGCACCACCACTCTTGCCTTTTTGTGCAACAGCAGCTGCTCCGGGCACGAGATGTAATGCTCAAAACTTATTGGACGGCCCGTGTTTTCGCTTTGCGAAACTGAAAAGATTCGTCTGACTGGTTAAAAAAAAAAAGACACATTCGCATTTTCGGTGCGCGAATGTTCGCGGTCTATGTGGAAGCATCCATAGGAATCTTGTTTTATTCCAGCACGTCATCGCGTCCGGTATTTGTTTCGCTTTTTCGCGCTCAGTGGGGA